ACAATGCCCTTCGACAATTCCAGTCCCTATCCTCCTCCACCTCTCTCTCCTCCAGATGCTGCAAAACAGGACAAATGGAAAAATAAAGTGTTCTGTTCTCTTGACCTGAATTTCCCAGATCTGCCCCTCCACCCTCCTCTTCAGAGATTGAAAAGACCTGCAGCTTTCCTTGCCAACCAGGAGAGGCAATGATAGCCAACTCACCCACCTTCCCTCCCTCCCCTTTTTTTTTTCCCTCCGATTTGACCAGAAAGGGACAGAGTGAGAGTGACAGTGAAAGCGAGAGAGAGAGAGAAAATGAGAAAGCAAGCCATCAGTCAGCCATGTGGGAGTCTGGTGCCCCTAATCACCATCCCACCTGCTGGCCTCAGTCTTTTAGTTTCTCTTTTTTTTTTTTTTTCTTTGAGAGATTTTCGCTATAGGGCGCGTGTGCTCACCAGACAGACAGAGAGAGACATAGAGACAGAAAGCGAGAAATCACCCCACAGGGGGGACGGTCACGCCTCAATCCCTTCACCTCCATTCTTCTCTCGGGATCTTGGGCACGCACGCACACGCGCCCGGCGTGAGTTTTAAGCCACCGGGTCTGGGACGTGAACCGCAGTTGACTATGTGGGAGTCCAGCGACATAGCCATTACGCTAACTGCTGATTTCTTTTTTATTTTCTTTGTGGCATTTATTACTGCTTGAAATCACCCTGTTATTCATTCTTTACCTTGATTATTGCCTGTCTCTCTCATTAGAATACAAGTTCTGGGAGGACTCTGTCTGCCTCCTCACTGTATCAGGACAGCACGGGTCTCAAAGAATGCCCTTGACAAATATTTGTGGAATGAATGAATGCTGTTTAATCTTACCTGACCCATAATATGATTATTATTTTTAAAATGAACTCGAGGGATCAGCAGATGGCATAATGGTTATATCGCTGTAGTCAACCATGGTGCTAGACCCAGACCCGGAGGCTTAAATCTCACACCAAGTGCATGTACATATGTGCCCAAAATCCCAAGAGGAGACTGGGGGAGAAGGGACCACAGCGTGGCCATCCCCCCTGGGGGCTAATTTCTCACTTTCTGTCTCTCTGGCAAGTACATGCACGGTATAGCAAAAATCTCTCTTAATAATAAAAACTAAAATTAAACTCAAATCAAGATCACATTTCACTTTTATAAAACACTCATTTTCAATGTTTAATAGTTTCGTGCTCTAATAAAATGTTCTAATGTCCTAAATAACACCCCTAAGCCCCCCTACTTTTTTTAACTGCAGCAAATGTTTGAAACAACACATGTCTGCAAAATGAACATCTAGCATTTAACTCTGCTCTATACCCACTCGGTTTATTTCTTTAGAGTATCTCTGAACCAATAAAAAGAGCAGTTAGCAATTTATACCAACTGCAAACTGATGCACAGTTTCAATAAAACATGCTGGAAGAAAAATGGAAGGAGGTTATTCCATGTATAAGGACAAAGTCCAGTTTCTGCTAATAAAACAAAACTACCTCAGGGAGGAAGAAAACATGACTGACATCGTTGGAGAAACAGTGAACACATTAACATCTGGAAGAAAGGCACCATTTCTTAGAAATCAATGTCACTGATGATTTTAAACTCAGAGATCAAGCCTTGCCAAAAGTGCATGGTATATGAATGGAGGCCAGCTCGACGACAGCAGTAACGCACTGCTCACGTGACGCTGGGTCCCCATGGCAGACTGTGGGTGGTTCCCTAGCTGACTCGGAAAGTTTATGATACCGGCTGGCAGGGACCACTTGCGGTGGGGGACTACAGAATGAGACCCTAGCTTCCCCTCTATCTTTCATGGAAAAAATAAACTTTTAAGAAACAAAGTTTGGCGAGATAAGAGCTCCTGGAATTTGTTTATCTAATGGTCATTTCACTTTCAGGTTCTTTTGAACAACCTATCCCTATCTGCAGAGTCACAGGTTTCAGGCTACTGCCATCCCAATGGGATAAGCTTTCAAAGCATTTTAGCCTGTAAAAGATGCAGGAGGACCAGGAGATATGTCATGGTTACATCACTGTACTCCCATGTAAACAACTGCGGTTTGAGTCTCAGACCTGGCAGCCTAAAACTTACACCAGGCACATGTGTACGTGTGTGCGCGTGCGTCCCCAAAATCCTAAGAGAAGAAGGGATTGTGATGTGGCCATCCCCTCTGGGGAGGTGATTTCTCACTTTCTGTCTCTCTGCCTCTCTGTCTCTTGAGTGAGCACACGTGCCCTATGGCAAAAATCTCTCATAAATAAATAAATAAATAAATAGATAGATAGATAGATAGATAGATAGATAGGTAGATAGGTAGGTAGGTAGGTAGGTAGGTAGGTAGGTAGGTTCGGGAAACTATCAGTAGTACAAGTTGAGCCATGCCATTACTGCCCTGATTAAAATATTTGTCACAAAGCTTGTTCCATGACCTGGTGGTTAAGGTAGCCAGATCTCCAAGGTCAACCACACAGTTCTAATCCTGGCCCCGGGCCACTAGAGACACACAGCGGGTGCACGCATGCCCCAAATCCCAACAGGGCAGAGAAATGGAGGAAAAGGGATTATGGAGTGATGACGCTCCTCTGTGGGGGTGCTTTCTCCCTCTCCCACTTTGGCAAGTGCACGTGCCCCTCTGCAAATTAAAAAGAAAAAAAAAAGAAAATTCTAAAAAACAGATCAGAACTCAAGAAGAAAATTTGGAAAATCAAATATTGTGAAAATATGTACCATTATTATGAATCTATCTCAAGACTAATGAAGTTTAAAGTAAGACCTAACTGTTGCCTTACCTAATCCCTTTCTCAATATAAATACCACGTAAAACTACAAAATGGTTCTACTCCAACCCTTTTTATATGTGAGTGACAAAAGAAAGCCTTTAAACTCCTCTGAATATAAATTCATTTTTCTCAGCCAAGTGTTAACACTCATAAACGGAGGATTTATATGTAATCCTGAAAAGCACACAGGCAGAAATGATCCTCCATGCTATGACTTTTCAACTAAGCATTTTATTTAATCCCATGTGTATACTAGGGCAATTTAAAGGGTGCAGTTTTTTTTTAAATGAGACACAAATGCAAAATATTGTCCCTGATATTTTAAGGCAAACTTTCTGGGATTCTCTACTCAAACAAATCCAAGGGGTTTTTGGTTTTTTTCTTCACAGTAATCATTAGGAATAACTAAATAACTACCTATCAATCAGTACCAGCCTTTGTCAAAAATAAAAAATGTCCAGGGATCAAGTGGCATGGAGGTTAAGGCCTTGGATCCCATGTGGTCCATTTCACAGTTTGAGTCCTGGGACCTATGGCTTAAAAAACACACTGGGTGCATGCATGCATGCGCAAAATCTCGAGAGAAGAATGAAAGAGAAAGGATTGCAACATGGTGATTTCTACTTACTTTCTCTTACTTCCTCTCTCTCTCTCCCTCTCCAGTGAGCTCATGGCACCCTATGGCAAAGAATCTAAAAATAAATAAACATTAGATATTGGAAAACTTTTCCAAAGTCAATTTATACGTTAAATCTAAGTAGGTACCAGTGCACAGTCCACTAACAAAATGCAAATTTATTTATAAGCTAATGATGAGTGGCCTACACAGTGAGACTCTTTTTGTTTGTTTGAACATTCGTTGGTGACCTAGCAACCTAAAACTGCATGCCTTTTCTATGATTCAAGCAGCATCTGGTAAATGACGTCTACTTTCCCTAGCTAGTCTACTTTAAAAAAATAAATAAATCTGGACCAACAGTAGTTCGGTACCTAAGGTGCTAGATTCCACTTGACCAACTCCATGGTTTGAGTCCTGGATCTGGCGACTTAAGAACACACCCCAGATGTGTGTGTGCCTGTGTGCCCAAAATTCCTGGAGGAGAATGGGTTGCGGTGTGGCCACCCTCTCTGGAGGGTGATTTCTCACTTCTCCTCTCTCTCAGGTGCAAACACACATACCCTATGGCAAAAATATTAAAGCAAAAAAGAAATCAAGACTAGTCAAAACTATCATTTCTATTATTGCAAGCTGTAACAGTCAGTTTACGATCTGTATTACCATGTTCTCAATAGCACAGATTAAAAGGGTAAGTTTCCTTTAGAAAAATGGATCCCTTTGCCAGCCATCATACTCTAAAAATTAAACCGGTATTTATTTCTTCACATGCAAACAGATCAAGATGGGAATACAGAAGACCTCAACTAGCCATGGAAAAATGAAACGGCCAAAAATATCAATAAGAAAATGCCATCTTGTAAAATTAACAGTTAATGTTCAGGATAAAGTTGAATCAAATGTAATTAATAGGACCACTTAAGGAAAAATTTTAAAGCTGAAAGAAAAAAAAAAAAAAACACAAAGGACCCAATGTTCTCCAGTCACGAACATCCTAGTCAGCCAAATATTCAGGCCAGTGGCTAATGTCACAGAAGTGCCACGGACATCTCCACAGCCCAGTCATGCTGTTAATCAGGAGGAACCCGCTTACAAATCAATCTCTACTTTTAGGCTCGGCTCAGTGCTGCTACCCCTAAATGTCTTATTTCTTAATACGCAACTCATTTGAGTTAAGCAAAAATAGGAAAATAAAACCATTCATAAGCCCACTGGTCAAACACAAAGAACCACTATTATTAACCTTTTTATGGACTAAAAATGGTCACTCGCTAAAGCTTTTCTTTAAGGCAGTTTCCTTCTTCTCCCCCTCCATCCCCTGCCTGCTCACAACATTCCTCAATTTAACTTCCCTCTTCGACATTTCTGTATAGAATTTTCTAGATAACCTTCATACCCTTTACCAGGTAAACAGCTTTCTGGAGAAGCTGAGCACAGAGGAATTCTGGATCAGAACCTGCTGTGCTCTGGGTAGAGGCACCACAGGCCTGCACGTACGTGACAGCTGCACCTGCCACTGGCCCAGGGTGCAGGGGCTACCCCAGAACCCGTTTCCTGTGTCCCAGACCTCCCGCGAAACATCACTTACTGTGCCAGGCATGTGGCTTCTCTCGTTCTTCCCATTCTGCGAGCTGCCATTTTTGAGTTTCTTTTTCTTTTTGGTTGTTTCTTTGTGCTCTTTCTGTTTGTTTTGCACTTCAATAAGAACAGAAATAAAGCTGTTTTTCACTTCCTTCTCAAACTCCAGTTCATCCCGGAGTGCCAACTGCTGCACCAGCTCCTCCGAGTACTCCTTAATGGCGGTCTCGATCTCTTCCAGTAGTTCATTGAGTTCAGACACTGACAGCCTTTTTACTCCTGTGACCAAACACAAAGGACAGCAGGGACTAAGACTGAAGTGTTTCAAAGCAGCACAACAGGGTGTTTTCATGCCACAGAGCAGGAAAAGAAAAAAGAAAAAAATCTGTTTAAGCAATTAAACTGACCGTTCGTGATCTCAGAATCCCCTAACACTTCTAGAAGGCAGCTCTGAGTAGAGGCGGGTAGGCAGTAGCTTCTCAGCTGGCCGAGAAGAAAAAAATGACATCATTCTCTACTTGCATCCATCATTCATCCCACAAGTAGAACTTCAGTCAAGATGGCAAAAGCTCGTACAAGGAGGAGAATGAACACACACACACACACACACACACACACACACACACACAGAGGAAGAGCCCAGAATCCAACTGGGCACAAGTGAATAGGAGGGCTCTCGGTCACTTCCTAAGAGAAGACTCAATTTGAAAGAATTCAACTAAATATATATTTAGTCACATAGGCCTCAATTTGTACCATTTCTTGGCAATTCGAAGGATGAAAGGGAACATCCCCCATTTCAGTTTTTTCTAAGCACTTTCCTCTCATGTTATCAATAGGACGCTGTTACGGTCCCTATCCCAATACCTCAAGAAAGTGACTGTAATTAGAGACAGGGTCTTTAAAGAGGTGACCAAGTTCAAAGAAGGTCATTAGGCTGGGCCCTGCTCTGTCTCACTGGTGTCCTTATAACATAAGGAGATTAGGACACAGGCGCACACAGAGGGACGACCACATGAAGACACAGGAAGGCCGGGGCCACCTGCAAGCCCAGGAGAGACCCAGGGAGAAATCAAACCAGCCAACACCTTGGTCTCAGACTTCTGGCCTCCAGAACTGCAAGGACATAAATTTCTGCTGTCCGAGCCACTTAGCACTTTGTTACAGCAAACTAACGTAGACTTTGGCATCCGTAGCCAGTATCAGGACTACACCTTGGAACCAGGACTCCCACAAGACCAAGCTCATGCCTACAATAGCACAGTCAAATAACTATCTAAAAAATATATTCAATCTGGGGACCAGCAGTTAGCGTAATGGCTATGTCGCTGGACTCCTACGTAGTCAACCGCGGTTCGCGTCCCGGACCTGGTGGCTTAAACTCACGCCGGGCGCGTGTGCGTGAGTGCCCAAGATCCCGAGAGGAGAATGGAGGAGAAGGGATTGTGGCATGGCCATCCCCCCTGGAGGGTGATTTCTCACTTTCTATCTCTCTGTCTCTCTCTGTCTGTCTGGTGAGCGCATGCGCCCTATAGCAAAAACCTCTTCAAAAAAAAAAAAATATATATATATATATAGTCAATCTGACCTTCCACAACCTAAAGAGAGTTAATCAACTAAGCTTTAGACCGCTGGTCATGCCATAAAAATAAAAATAAGTGACAACATTTAGTTGTCACATAGACCCCATCACTGTCTATTCAAGAAAGGGAGCCATCGCATAGTAACAATTAGATACTCATGATATTCACAAGCTGGTTGTAGTCATTCAACAACTTTTCATGACAACCGTACAGGTCCCAGGGTTCACTATTCTCAGGTACATCTGACAGATCCACAGGTCCCAAAATTCTTTTTCTTTTTTTTTAAGATTTATTTAATTTTATTTATTCATTCATTTATTTTAATTTGACCAGAGTGAGAAAGAGAAAGGAAGTGAAAAAGCAAGCCACCAGGTCCAGGACTCAAACCATAGTCAGCCATGTGGGAGTGTCCAGCGCCTTAAACACCACACCATCTGCTGGTCCCAGTCCGAAAATTCTTCACAGGAACAAAGACAAACATTATTTGTACACACAGGAATTATTTGCAACAAATAATTACTGGGTATCAACTATGAATTTAGTTGGGCAATCGGTTTATTAAGGACTGAACTGTGTCCCCCCTAAAAATGCATGCTGAAGTCCTAACCCCTAGTACCTCACAATGTAATAGTACCTGGACATACAGAATTTACAGAAAGGAAATCCGAATCCAGAAAGGTACAGGGGGAGGATGATGTGAAGAAACAGGGAAAAGAGGGGCCTCAGAAGACATCAGTCCCATCAATACCTTAGACTAACATTTCTAGCCTCCAGAACCGCAGGGGGGGAAAAAATCTGCTGTTTAAGCCACCCAGTCTGCAGTACCTTGTCATGGCTACTCTAGCTAACTGTGTAGTCGAGTCCACAAGTGAATATGATGTAGCTCCTGAGCAATGATTTAAAAAACAAATACCCAGAGTGCCATTGGCAGGCTCGGGGAGTATATAACCTAGCCTTGAGGATCAAGTCGTCTTAGAGCTGGTCACTCTGTACGTCTGATATAGACAAAAAGCACAAAGAACACTGATGTGGCAGGGTCTCTTACTCTCTTCATAACTGCTTGTACTGGACCTCTTCAGAGTCTGAATTTCCTGGGAAAGCATTGAAAGTCGGTCTGACTGTGTGGGGGTTTCATCATCCTCTGGGTCCGGTGATTCCTGCATCATTTCCTCAATTTCTTCAATAACCTTCCAAAACATAAAGTACCACAGCTGAGCAAATAAATACACAAGGGAAAAACGATGTACCTGGAATACAGCAGTCACCTGACACAGCCAGCCTAGAAACACACTAAACTCCCCTCTAACCAGTGTAGGTGTGGGTGTTCTGAAAAATCAAAATATTTCATCGTATTATGAGACCAAACATCATTTCCAAAGAAGAAAAAAAAAAAAAAAACTTACAACATGCTAAACACAAAATTAAATAGAACAGACTTGAGTGTATCCACCATGGCTTAGTAGGTCCTACAGACCTTGTGACATCTGCAATATGGAGCTACACACGCGTATCAGTTACTTCAGATGTCCCAGAACTCAGGTCACAAAACTACAGGTCTAAGAAACAAGTAAGAGAATATTTACATAGACCACATGCACACGTTCAGTCTAAATCTATTTAATCAAGGGGCTGACAGGTGGTGTGATGGTTAAGGGCACTGGATTCACACGTGGCCCTCTGCAGTTGAAGTCCCAGACCTGGAGGCTTTCTCTCTCTGTGTCACTCTCACTCTGTTCTTCTCTGATCAAATTCAAAAGTAAATAAAGAAAGGGAACCAGCAGTTAGCGTAATGGCTATGTCGCTGGACTCCCACGTAGTCGACCGTGGTTCGTGTCCCGGACCCGGTGGCTTAGAACTCACGCCGGGTGCGTGTGCGTGCATGCCCAAGATCCCGAGAGGAGAATGGAGGAGAAGGGATTTCGGCGTGACCATCCCCCCTGGGGGGTGATTTCTCGCTTTCTGTCTCTATGTCTCTCTCTGTCTGTCTGGCGAGCGCACGCGCCCTACAGTGAAAATCTCTCAAAAAAAAAAAAAAAGTAAATAAAGAAAGAAAGTAAAATAAAATAAATTTTTTAGAGAGGTTTTTTGCTTCAGGGTGCAGTCGCTTGCCAGAAAAACAGAGAAAGGCAGAGAGAGACAGAGAGACAGAAAGAGAGAAATCACCCCCCAGGGGGGATGGCCACGGCACAATCCCTTCTCCTTCATTCTCCTCTCAGGATCTTGGGCATGCACGCACACGCATCCAGCGTGAGTTTAAGCCACCAGGTCCGGGACTCGAACTGCAGTCAACTACATGGGAGTCCAGAGACTTAGTCATTACTCCAACTACTGGTCCCTAAAATAATTCTTAAAAAAATCTATTTAATTAAAAATTTGACATCAAATTTAGAAAATACAAGAGTATTAAAAAACTCACATAAAGTAAGAAATAACTGCCATGGCACCAAAATTCCCCCTTAACAGCAGAAAAAGAACTTTATATATTAATTCTCTGTATTAATTCAAGATAAAGGGATATTTAAAAATTACTTAAAATGTAGAAGCTTAAATAGAAAAATAAGGTGGGCTAAGCAGGAAAATTTCAGAACTAGGTCTGCTTTTGAAACAATAGCCCACTGTTAACTGCATCTTGCTCAAATCTTACAACATCTCACAACACTGTCTGGTCCCGTTCCAGAATCTGCCAGTTGGAGACACAGAATTCAGTGTAACTTTAAGGGAAAGCCAGAAAAAGCTCTCAATACTTAGGAAAAAACTACTTAAGGATTTTAAAACAAAAACCATTAAAATACAGTTAAATGAAGATCATCAACATAATTTAACATACTTTATGAATCAGTAAACTTACGAGGTAGCATTTCTACTAAGGAAAACTAAAGTAAATCTGAAGGTGGTAGAATTATGTCAATTATTAGCAAAAATATTTTCCAAAATATGCATTATAAAATAGGACATTGAGGGGGTCAGCAGGTGGTGTGGGGGTTAAGGCACTGGACTGCCATGTGGCCAATAGCAGTTCAAACCTCAGACCTGGAAGCTTGTTGTCTCCTTTTCCTCTGTCTCTCAGGTGAGCACATGTGCCCTATAACAAATTTAAAAGTAATAATAAATTATGGGATTGGTAGCTGGTGTGGTGATTAAGGCACTGGACAACCACATGGCTGACACATGTCAAGTCCCAAACCTGGTGGCTTGCGTTTTCACTTTCCCTTTCTCTCTATGGTTCGATTTAAAATAAATAAATAAAATTCATTTCATTTCATTTTTAAAAAAATAGTACACTGAGACACTCAAGACAACTACAGACCCTGTTTCTCTAAGTCTTAAAATCAATGATAATATAAGCTATTCCAGCAGATACCAAGAGGGTGATGAGTTCTCAGGGTCACACCTTTCCTGAAATATTACGCTCTACCTCAGAACAGCCCTCCAACCAATTATTACCTTGCTTTTTATGCACCACACACCTCCCAGGCCTAGAACAATCCAACCACAGATATGACTAAGCCCATCGAAATGACACATTTTTAATGTACTTCTTCCAACCCTGCCATAATGTATCTCTTTACTGACCTCATCTTTCCAGCCTAAAATAGAGTGTGGTAAAATTCACAGTCCAAGTAGTCATGGAATATTTTGGTTCAGGAAGAGGCTCTTACATTACATTCTGACAATACAGCAGAGGTGGGAGAAATATTCGGAAAATGAGAAAGCTGATTCAACTGGTTTGGATGAATACAGGGTTGACATTATTACAGCCCTGGATAGGAATAACACTCCTTTCTGGGGTACAAGTTATAAACTTCTAATACATACTGATGATTTTTACTCAGGATTTGATAGAAAAGAAATAATTCCTACACAGATATATTCCTGTTTGCCCAAGGTTTAGATAAAGCTAAACAAAGTAGGGCTTAAGCAATCAACTCTTCCTCAGTAACTTGCTTAATGAATACATCAGAAATCTTCCCAACGAGGACCAGCAGTTGGCATCATGACTATGTCGCTGGACTCCCATGTAGTTGACCACAGTTTGAGTCCCAGATCCGGTGACATAAACTCACACCAGGCACATGTGCGTACGTGCCCAGGATCCCGTAAGGAGAATGGAGGAGAAGGGATTGCAGTGTTGCCATTCCCTCTGGGGGGTGATTTCTCACTTTCTATCTCTCTGTCTCTCTCTGTCTTTCTGGCGAGTGCACATGCCCTATAGCAAAAACCTTGACCCCTCCCCCCAAAAAAACATAATTCCATTTATTTCATGTTACTTATAGTTTATTGTTTTTGTCCTCAGCAGAAGGGTTAACTTTTAATCCCATATAAACCAGAAAACATAGGAAAAAATAAGTCTATTCCGACAATCACCATTTATTGCCATACTAATAAATCACGTTTAGCTGTAGATTCTCCCTTCTTTCTGCTGATAAATACCTGATCTGCAGTGAAGAGGGGTTCCTCGTTAACGCAGGAGACTATGATGGAATGCATATCCAGCTGTTCTCTCAGCTCCTCGTCATCTGAGGTATCAAAGAGCAAGCTGTCACTTACCTAAAAAAAAAAAAATACTCACTGTTAAATACAGGGCATTTTCATCAGAGCAAAGTCAACGTCTTGGGTAAAAGAAAATGGAGCAAAAGTATACGGCAAGAGCTCTTTCCTGAAAGGAAGAAATTATAACAATCGCTCTGTACCAGGAACTAGCAGATGGCATGATGGTTATGTTGCTGGACTCCACATGGCCGACAGTGGTTCGAGTCCTGGACCTAGAGGCCTGAAACATGCCAGATGCGTGTGTGTGAGTGCACAAAATCCTAAGAGAAGAATGGAGGAGAAGGGACTGCAGCATGGCCATCCCCCGGGGGGGTGCTTTCTCATTTCTGTCTTTCTGTCTCTCTGGCAATCGTACACATCCTAGAGCAAAAAAAAAAAAAATTTTACTTCCTAAAAATTAATTAAATTAAAATCATTGTGTACCAGGCAGCATGGGGGCAGGGCTTTACATACTTGTCTCTTAACAGAAATCAGAGGAACCAGCTCAGTGGCAAAGCAGTAACGTGCTGCTTAAGAGATGCTGGATCCGCAAGGAAGGTGGTGAGTTCAGTTCCACAGCTCACCTCTACATTTCCAGCCAGATCCTGTCTGGCTGGAAAGGCTAGGAGAAACAGTAGTATTAGATCCTGCTTAAAGTACTTGTCTATCTGTGTCTCTTACTCTCGTGAAAGTAAGAAATCATTTTTTCTTCCTTTAATTTAAAACAGGACCAGTCTGTGGCCTGGTGGTTGAAGCAGCTAGGTGCCACATGGCCAACTGTGTGGTTCAAGTCCCATATCCAGCAGATTGAAAAACAGGTCAGGTTCATGTGCATTCATGCCCCAAAATCCCAAAGGCAGAGAGAAGAGGAGGAAAGGAAATCATGCATGTCCAGTCCCTATGGGTGGTGAGGGGATGTTTTCTCACTTTCCCTCTCTCTGTCTCTCTCCAATAAGTGCAGGCACCTTTTGTCAAATTTTGCTTAAAAAAAAATAACATAAATCAGAGGAATTTAGAATAAATATGAAATTGCTGAGGTGCTACACACATGCCTATCACCTTAGCAGATAAATGCATTTAGCTAATTTCCATGGGGCGTGACAGACAGCCCAGCCCATGGCATGGTAGTTAAATCCGCCAAACCCCACATAGCCTACTATGCATTTTGAGTCCCCTCCCTGGCAGCTTGGAAAACATGCTGAGCACATGTGTGTGCGTGCCCAAAATCCTGAACGGAAGAGAAAATGGAGGAAAGAAAGAGAATGTCCCTGCCCCGCAAGGTGTACTGGTTATGTCCCTGGACTCCCACCTAGTCAATCATGGTTCAAGTCCTAGACCCAGCAGCTTAAAACTCACACCAGGCACATGCGCGTGCCCAAAATCTCAAGAGGAGAATGGAAGAGAAGGGACTGCACCATGGCCATCTCGCCGGAGGGTGATTTCTCACCTTCTGTCTCTGTCTCTGTCTCTCTAGTGAGCATACATGCCCGAGAGCAAAAAATCTCTCAAAAAATAAAGTTGACATGCACACGCACACATGTGCATGTGCACTCACACACACACACACACAAGAAACAGTATTCATTAGTAAGTTATAGAGAATTAGAATGGCAAGGAGAGAATGGAAGAAGAAATGCTACTTATTTAACAATCTAAGGGCAACCTTGGTATATGTTAAAATTCTACAAAAAAAAAAACAGGGCCAACAGGTGTGGCAGTTAAGGCACTGGATTACCACAAGGTCAACCATGGTTTGAGTCTGAGACCTAGCAGCTTGAAAATCATGCCGGGCGCATGTGCGTGTATGTGAAAATCCTGAGAGGAGACTGAAGGAGAAAGGATTGTGGCATGGTCATTCCTACCTAGGAAGTGATTTCTCACTTTCCCTCTTTGTATCTCTCTCTGGTGAGAGCACACACCCTGTGGCATAAACCTTTAAAAAAAAAAAAAAAGTTCTGCAGAAAAAAAAGTGAGTTACTTCCAAGTTGACTTCTAATATTCAAAGTAAAAGATAAATAATCAAGTCCTGACAGTCTGAACAACACACTGGGCACATGTACATGCCCAAAGTCTTGAAAGAAGAATGGAAAACAAAGAACTGAGTTGTGGCCATCCCCCTTAGGGATGCTTTCTCATTTCCCTCTGTCTGTTTCTCTGTTTCCCTGGTGAGCACACATGCCCTAGCACATATTTTTAAAAATTATTACTACAGAG